TCCAACACACGTATTTTCTACTAACACATAAGGCATGTCACAGCTTTCTTGCACTTAGGAAAACAGACATCACTTCAGCACTATGCTTGGGGGCCGTTTTAAACAGTGAAATCACCAATAAAATGAATAAAAATGCAGAAAATGTAGCACTATTAAATAGACTGCAAAAAGGACCCTTGTTTGCAGCACGGGAACTGAGACAAGAAGTCCACGTTGCCTGGCTCCTTCTCAGCTGGGAATGCACTGCGCGACTCAGATTCTTCAATGCTGTGCACATGTCTGCGAGTATCAGTAAAAGCACCCTCAACACTGATTTGGGGGGTGAAAATAAATTTTAACCACCAGGCGAACTGGCAAATGTGGACTCTGGACGATGAGAATGGACTGTGTTTTCTCCTTCTCGTACCCAACACCCTTGCCCTTGCCGAAGCCTTTGCTTCCTTCTGCCTCGATGCCTCGATGTCCCGCAATAACTCCCCGAGCTATCTTCCTACCCGAACCTCCTACTTTCCGTTCTCTGTACCTGAATCCACAGGTTCTGGGTGACAGGAATTCTCTTTCTATCTCTCTCTCCCTGCCTAGCTCCATCTCTCTGAATGATACCCACATCAGCTGCCTCATTATACTCGTATTATCGTACACAAAACCACTGCAGTTCCTTTTCCTAATTTCTAGTGTTTGCCCTACAAAATGTATAGGATTTTTGTGCAGATCATGGAAAACAGTAATTCTCAAATTTTCATGTGTGTAAGAATCACTGGGGGGAAGCGGACCAGAAAGAGAAGAGAAAGAACGTACTTAAAATTCAGGTTTCTGGGGCCTCATCTCAGAGATGCTGAGTCAGAGGTTGGGGTCAGTCCCAGGAACCTGCTTTTAACAATCTCTCTAGGTGCTTCTTGGACTACCCTTTAAGGAACACCAGCAAGACAATGGACGGGAAGGTGTTTTTTAAGCTGGAATGACGCTCCCTTCACCCATCAGTTGAACACCTACTATGTGTCGCTCAATGGCAAGCGGGGGCGGGTGGAGTTAACGGTGAAGGGAGCAGAAAAATCAACTCAAAGAAAAGGTGAAAAAGGGTTGTTAGTATGTTTTTGTTGATGATTTTTTTATATATATACAGGAAAACCTCAAAGATAAGCCAAACTTCTACAAGGAAAACAGCAGGCAAGCACAGAGAGCCCGGAAATAAGTATGCAATCACACCTGACATCAAGCTCAAACGCTCCTTCCACTGCCCGCCTTCTGTGAAAACGGTCTGCACACACCTCCCCCGCCCCCCGTGAGACGGGCTCTGCTCAAGCACGAGGGCTGCAACTTGTGCCTCCAAGCTCCACCCCGTGGGCCTTGTACCTGACGCGCATTCAGCAGATGTCTGAATGGATAATTCGTTTGCACATATGTCAGCTGGAAAATAGCCCCACTGAATAGAGACAGACAGATGGGCATTTAAAAAATAGCCAGTTGCTAATGTCTTCCTTTTTAACAGGCTTGCAGGGAGGCATAGCTGGTGGCCACTCGAAGAGGCAGGAGAGAAAAGGCGAGGAGAGAAGACAGACCGTACCGAAGCGCCTGCTGGGCGGCAGCCTGTGTTCACCTGTCGGTGGCCAGTGCTGTGACAGGTCGTTCAGCCTCAGGGCAGAGGCCTGACCCAGGGCCGGCCACGCCGCCAGACCCTCGGATTTTGTATTGTGGGTTCTTAACCTACCCTGTGCCATGGACCTTTTGGCAATCTGGTGAAGTCTCACAATCATATTTTTTTTTATAGTTTTTAAAAAGCAGCAGGTGAAATTAATTTTAATAATATGCTATTTAACCCACTAGATCCAAGGTATTTCCAACATGCAGTTAATGTAACAAAATTATTAATGAAATATTTTATACTTTCTGTGCTAAATTTTCAAAATCCAAAGTGTATTTTATCCTGAATACATCACAATTCAGACTAGACAGTTTTCAAAGGTTCAATACCCCAGGGCACCATGTAGACGCTGCACTGGGCAGCACAGCTCTAGAACACAGGGACGCAAGTGTAGCCGGGAAAACACACGGGCCTGGGTTTAATTCATTCAAATATTTTCTGGTGAAGAAACCAACCCCTCGTTATTCGGTACTCAGATGCTGCAGTAGTAAGTCTGCCTTCATCAAAGGAGCAAGGATGACGATATTTTACCCTAAGCTCAGATTTTTTGTTTTTCAGAGTCATTATTTTGAAACACATAATATTAAGATACACGAGAGCCCAAAGGAAATCAATGATATTGAAATATTGTTAGCAAAATACTTAAAAAGAAACCCCAAAGAGGGGACATGACAGTTCAAGTGCTTCTTTATTACTGCATTAAATAATAAGGCTGAGGGGCAGATCTACTAACTACCATAATTTTAAAGTAATAATAAACATAAATAGCCATATTAATATAAACACTTGTAAAATAATATAAAAATATACAGGCTTTCTAGTGGTGACAAAGTCATAGATGCTGCTAATGGTTTGTTGCCTACATTCATAACTGAAGGAAATTCTAGTTTGTAGCTAGACCATGGTATAAATAAAGATGTACTAATGGTTTCCCTCTGCCCAAGTTCATGGGCCCCCTTAATTCTATCCACGAAACCGTTGGGCCCAATAGATAGTTTAAAATATCTATTCTAGATGGAGGTATTTGGATAAATAACCAAGGAATTCAGCTTCAGAGAGCCTCCTCCTTGCTCTTTATAAAGCCAGGTAGCCCTGTGGTCTATTTCTGTCATGCACTTCAATTTTCACTCACTGGTGGTCAAGAACATCTTTCGAAAGTCCAATGGAAGCCAATTAGTCCACTAAGTGCACTGCCCTTGGATCTTCTATTTCTACTTGAGATAAAAATGAACAACTATTAACTGACTTTGCTCTGGTTTTCTTTCTTTTTTTTATTTAAAAAAACAAACTTCAAGGTGGAGAAAACTTCATATATTAAACAAGTAAAATGTGTTCAATGTAGAAAAACAAGAAGCAATCAACAAAAGGGAGAGAATAAATACCTTCACAATCTCACTCTGCAGACACAAATCCTACTAATATTCTGATGCACATACTTTGTGACTTGTAAAAATGGGTCTGTATATACACAGGCGAATATATAGATACCTATTTTTTAAATAAAAAGGAGATGATATAATATTCACTCATATGCTATTGTCTCACACTTAATATATATCACAGGTATCTCTGTCAAAAATATTCTACTCTATTTTTTCATTATCAAGATGGCTGAATTCCACTGTATAACTGGGAAATAATTTAACAAATTCCTAAGACGTTTAAGTTGTTTTATTCTTTTTTTTTTATTATTTAAAATAATACTTAACAGAAAGCAAATATTTCATTATCAAATTTTCTGTTAAAGTTAAGTGACCCTTTCTTTCCTCAAACAAACAAAAAGTTGGAAGATAACAGTCTCTGTCTCATGAGATTCTTGGGAATATTAAATGAGATAAAGCACATAAATGGCTTGGCAGAGAGCATTTTATATAATAAATGTGTAGTCGGCATTAGCTAGAATTCAATTTTTTTATTATTCAGGTTGAGTATTTCTTATCTAAAATGCTTGGGACAGAAGTGTTTTGGATTTTGGTTTTTTTTCAAATACCTACTGGTTCAGCATCCCTAATCTAAAAATCCCAAGTCTGAAATGCTCCAATGAACATTATTATTATTATTATTATTATTATTTTGAGTATCATGTCAGTGCCCCAAAATTTTCAGATTTTGGAGCATTTTGAATTTCAGATTTTTTTCAGGTTAATAAGGATGTTCAACCCATTATTTCATAGGATAGATTCTTACGTACGGAATTTCTAGATCGAAAGACATATCCAAATCTGCAATGGGCTGCCAAATCCCAGAAAGCTTGTTTCCAGCACCAGTGAGTGCAAGGTATTTCCCTTAACATTGTAGTTTCTAAAATCTTTGCCGTGTTGCTAGTTGAATACTTTGTGTATAATATTGGCTGTTTGAATTTCTTTTAAAAATTATTTTCCCCAAATTTGTCTTTTGTCAGAAGTTGTAGATTTTTTTTAGTTTTTAAAACTTCCAGTTTAGCTTTATTTGCAGTGTCTTTTGTATGGAGAAGCTTTAGAAATAATTTAGTTCAGTCAGTCCTACCTTCTCCCTCTCTACCTCTTCGGCAGGTTCATTCTTTGGAGCTATACTTGGAGATATCAGCTCTGTCCCAAGTTTATGCTACATTACATTTTAAGTAATTTTATGGATAAATAGTAATATTTCTATGTAAACTTTTAACTCTCTGGAAATTATTTTGATGTATAATGTTAGCTAGACTATTAACTTAAAAAAATTTAATAGTCAGTTGTACCAAAGTAATTACTAAATAGGTAGAATCTCTGAAACAAAGAAATGGTTCAAGAATCTATACTAATTCTGTGTGAAGTACCTTTCAAAGAAATAGATTTGATTATACTTTACTCACATACCTTTTACTTGACTTCCTCCTTCACAGTGGTAGGGAGGAGTGATTACATTTTAGGCAGAATAATGTGAATTAATCCTTCATACTCCCTGAATGGTAATTCCCACCCAACCTTTACAGGCACTTTATTTTTCTTTTCCTTCTCCTCTCTCCTAATCTCTTCGCATTCAAGCTTTGTCCTAAGCCTCCACTGATTTTATCGAGTAGAACAGAAGAGGAATAACAATAACAGCTAAAACAGCAAGACTTGGCCATTTTTGCTAATCATGTTGATTTTTTTCCCTAACACATCAAAATATAGCCCTGTGTAGACACCGACTTTGTAGCAATGATTGGCTTTTAGAAAACAGAATGGCACCACTGACATGTTTTGCATGATGTCATGGTTATAGGTAAATATCTTATAATCTTGGTATCAAGAAAGCATGAATCCACCCACGTGTTTAACATGAGACTTAACTTTTACTATTTTTTTTCCGTTTCCTGCGGCAATATTCTATTTGATTCAACTAGAACTCTGTGACTTACTATGAGTTGAGTATCAGCTCCACTGAGACGGCGCTTGAAGATCAGCCAGTATAGCAGCCCCTCTTGTCACACGTGGCGTCAGACCCCTGTTGTGCAGGACACGTAAGACTGGCCGCAGTGGACTGAATGACGGCAAGGCTGGAGAAGACCTGTTTAGAGAGACAGGTATCTCAAAAAAGGCACTGTATTGACCAAGAAGACATCTAAAATGTCAAAAGATAATAGTGAAAAAAAGCATGGAAGCCCACTTTCCCTACAGAAACCCACCTTAAGCCAAATCAATCTCCTCACCATCCCAGAATCAAGGTGGAAAACTAAAGAAATTTCTTCCTTCCCCAAAGTCTTTTGAAAGCACACTTGAAGCTGTGCATCTATTGTTACTGAGTGTACTCCATTTCTCCAGCCTGTATGTGTCCATGGGTCTTCTAACTCCACAGCTGGCCTCGCCTGTGAACACTAGGGCCATGTCAATTGGGTAACCACCATCACAGACAGAGATGAGTGCTTCGGAATTCACCGTGTTTGCTGGACAATCTACCAATGACATCCAAGCCATGTGTCACAGATTCCAACTGCAGGTGGAGGGGTAGAGAGCTACTGAGAAAACCCAATACTCTCCTCTTGCTCCTAATCACACTTGTCTGATTTGTGTAGGACATTCCTACACACCCCTGCCTCCAACCTGCTCTCCTATAAATAAGACGAAGAACAAGAGGTATTCCTTGCTACCCCAGTTCTCATAAAAACAAATTTGTTCCTGTGTCACAGCTATGATTGAGCCCAGTGTCTAGAATGTATCTAGGTCTCCAAGGCCCTTTTACTCATGGCTACTTTCCAAGGCCCCATCTCTTCCAAGAAACCTTCCTGGGTAGGTTGAGTCCTTAATTCTGGAATCCCAGAGCCCTCATGACATGAATTGCTCACCCAGCCACCACACCAGGGGGCCTGTATGCCTCATCAGCTCCATGATTCCTGCCCTCTGTCTTATTATTTGAAGAATATTCGTGGAAATCTCCAAATTAAAAACACATGTGATCATGGTTCCTTGACCTCATAAAATCTGCAAAATACTGAAACCAAACTCATCATCTCTTCTTCTCCCTGAGACCTATACTCCAGAGTAGATTAGAAGTAAAATGATGTGCTTTGAAGTCTTACACCAGGTGCCATGGGGATCCCCGGGGTACTGAGGTCCCAGGTCCCAGGACCAGCCAACTGTTGAATCTTTCTAAGTCTCAGTTCCCTCATATTAAAATGTGAGTAATTATAGTCTCTACCACATGAAATACATTATTAAGATAAGACACATACATACTAACACAGTTCCTGGTTTGGTAAAATATTAACTGCTATTATTTTCCTCCTCCTCCTACTCACTACTTCCTCCTGGCCTCCACCATTTTCCTTCCCCACCCTTGCAGAAACACATTCTGCTGATACCTACTACTTCCCACTTTGTTTTTGCCTTTTAATTCTATGACAGGACACTCCTACCAGATTATAACTGCACCTACCGTGGCATAGCCCACGTCCAGTTCTCTTGGAACCTATTGGCAACTGCTTTGCCCCTGCCTTGGCTGGTGTGCACCAGCATGACTGAGGGGACAAACGAAGGATCGCCAATGACTTTCTTTTAAAAACTGGTACCTGTCTTAACATATGTTTGCATCAAAATTGGCTCATGGTCCTGCTGCTGCTGTCAGAGGTCTTGGTGCTCCAAGGACAGGGACTGTCAGGGTAATTGGTCTTGCACCACAGAGCGTGCAAAAACAGGCATAACTGATGATGACACTTCGGTAGCCAACACCACTTGAAGTCAGGAGGGATTTTTTTAGCATCATCTTTATGTTTAATGAAACATTCAATCCTCCTCTTTAACAGTTTTATTTTCTAATTTCCCCACACTGCATTTCTAGTTTCTACATGTTGCTGGTCTCATTGTGACAGTTTCAGTTGTTTTCCCAAATGCTAATGATGCAAAGGACGAATGACAGTGTGGGTAAACTGACCGGGAGCCACGCTTTTGAAAAGATAAAAAGGACAAGTAATGGGACTTCTCTGGTTACTGTTCAGTTTCAATAACACAGTTCTTATTAGCTGCCTTTGTTTTCACCCTATGGGTATTTAAATTTTAGCAAACTGAGTAGTTTCTCCCAGAGAACTACCAATTGAGTATTTTTCAACTATGGCAAACAGCATTTTTCTCGCATGAAGCAGATTATGCCATCATAAAGAGTAACTGAAAACACCCCGTGCATTGTTGACTTGGTTCCCAAAGTGGGTTTCACTTGCAGAGAACATGGAAAGGCGAGAGGGACTGCAGGGCCCCATTCTTAGTCCTGGGCTATGTTTCCAGCATGTTTATGAGTCTCCCTGTCCTCCTTCCCTACTTGTTGTCGTCAGGGAGTGTTTTCTAAAATGCACATCTGATAACACTGCTCCTCCCCTAACACCCTGGAGTGGCTTTTCTTTACCTTCTGCATAAAATACAAACTGTATACCTCTCCAGGCTTAGCTACTACTGTTCTCACAGTGTGCTGGACTCTTCCTGGCCTTTGGAACTTTATATGTGTGCTCCCACTGACTCTCTGTACGCCTTCCTGGCCCTCACCGAGCTCACCTTGCATTCTGGTAACTCCTATTCATCACTCAGAATTCTCCCCAGACATCACTTCTACCAGGCAGTCTTCCGTAACGCCCTGCGGGTTAGGTGCCCCTCCCTGTGATTATCCTCAGCACCATAACCACATCATAGCCTTGTATAGTCACTACCCATGTGACACTGCTCAGCAGACGGCTGGGGGAAAGGGATGTCACGTTCACAACTGTCCCGCAGGGCCCAGCACGATGAAAGCCTCACATCTATGTTGAATGTTGTGCCAGTGGTGGTATATTCGCAATAAAAATTAAGCCCTAATATGAGAACACTAAGCTCATTTAGCTGAGAGAAGATGCAGACATTTAGATCAATCAATCATGTGAACTTGATTCCTTCATGAGATGTTTCCCCAACCCCAACAACCAGGAGCCTGCCTGCAAAACAGGTAATGCACATATACTGTTAGCAATGTGACCCTCACCTCTCTATAAATAGCTACTCTCTCTCTCAGTGGTGTGTCTATCAATGATAACAGAGCTTGGGCACCTAGTTTCTAGGTATTTTTGCAACTAAGAATAAAATAAGATGAAAAATCAATTTAAATCATAAAGGAAGATTTTCTTGATCATGAGGCTTATGAACTTTAGGAGAGTTTGTATAGGGAGACAACCAAATACATAAACCAGGCTATTATTGCTTTTTTAGCTATGAGTCTTACAAGCAAATGAAGACGACGTATCAATCAGTCTGTGGCTTCTGTGATGGATTCGCCACTTTGAAACAGGTAAAGGGCCTCATTTTGGTCACACCTAAGTCAACATTGTGATAATGTCAAGGGCAATATTCCACACAAATTTAAAGATTTATTGAATCAATAGGTTCCAATATAGTCTTACTACTTGTAGGATTCACTTTTGGTGCTCAAGATTTATAAAGCAGCAGCTGGACCTGAAGAAGCTATTAGAAGGGTAAGGATCAGATCACAGTAATTATCCCACTTAATATGGCATTTATCTGAAACAGTAACTCTGTGCGAGGTCATTTAGACTAACTACCATTTATTTCATGAACACTTTCCTGAAACTAGCAATAATCATAAAGATAATAATTTATTGCAAACATAATCGATTCAAGAAAAATAATTAGCATGAGCAATTATTGCAGGAAAATATTAGCTGTCCATAAAACATATGCCTAAATCTGTTTCTTGCTCCCCTTGGCAGAGATTAGTTACATATGGTTTATATGGTATGCTTCTTGCAGATGTTGATACTAAAAAAAAAATTATGAACTAGCATTATTAATCTTTTTGTGAAGAACAAAAGAATTAATTGAGAGCTTCATTATCATAGAAGATTGAGGTTTTTTAGATGATAATGGCATTTTATTTCAAAAGTTCATCAAACAGAGGATTTTAATTGTGAGGCTTGACTAATCATGACCACTTTGACTCTCAATAATTATGTATCAAGATGGAAGTTTTTAATGAGTCTTCTGGAAATTAAAGATACATTCTGCCATTGTGCTTTTGATACAGAAAAAAAAAAAATGCTCCGAATTCTAATATTTGAAAATGTCAAAAACCTACTTCTAAGCATCCTTGTTCTAAAAATACATTCTAAGAATTTAGATTAGAAATAGATGAGCTGAGAAAGGATTGTTAGAGTGGCTTTCAAGCAGTTGAGAAGGAACAGTCATGGGGCCAGCTTCCATAATTAGCTAACAAAAGAAATGAGCAAATCCTTTGTGCAAGGAATTGCCTTCTAACTCAAAGCAAAGAGAGTTAAGGTGCATGTGAGAGGATTCCAAATGCCCAACCGCTAGGCAGACCCACTAAGAAATGTTTGGCTGCAAATTTTCCTATTCCTCAAACTCTCCGTGACAGATGACTTGGAAGGGCAAGCTCATTCTCATTTCAGAATGTTAAAACGGTGGCATTAATGACTCCATGGCAGACACCCAAGGTCTGCGATGAGAGCATACACATGTCCCTCGGAGGCAGCATGTTCTGGGGCTGGTGCAACCTTCAGAGCAGAAGCCAGGTGAGGACGACACTCACTTCCTTGCAAGTTAATGATCTGAGCTTCGGTTCAGATGTAAATACAATTAGTTGAGAAAACAATCTGCTATTAGAAAAGCTTGCTTTTATAGGTGGCATTTCTAAAAGGGGATTCAAGAAGTGAAGTTACCTCTCTTACATAAGGAAACAGAAACTCAAAAAGAGCATGAGGAATGAGAGTGCTCTAGGCCCTCTCTCAGCCCTTTCCTAGGCTCCCCCAGCTCCCTGAGTGCAGTTGGAATTCCACAGTGGGATATAATTCCTGCTCTGCAACATTCCCAACCCAGTACAACCAACTCAAACATCAAAAGAAACGTAGGGCTTATTCAGGAGCCAGTTGGTTTTGAGGACTGAACTCTGATCTTTTTCTTTTGCTAAAAACTCCTTCCTAAGGAGGCCAGCTGGGTCAGGCTGACAAACGTAAATTCCCACTAAGTGGCTTTTGCTAACCAAATGAAGTGGTGGTTTACTTCCCAACCTGATTCTGGTAT